AGGCATACCGAGAGAATGTATTGATATTGCAACCAACACAGATACTATTGCTACAGCAACCAGAGAGACTGACGAAAAGTTATACAATGATGCAAATCAACAATTAAATATGACATTTGAAGCGTTTAAGGTAAAGGAAAACCAATACAATATGGTTAAAATAATGCTTAAACACTTTTGGCACAACACACATAAGAGAAATGAACCAACAAGAACACAAGCAACGCAAACCCTGAAAAACCAACGCGACGCAATGGTGTCAGCATTCACTACAATGCTTGACAACAACAAATCACCAGAACCATTGCCAAAGAAACCACCAGACGAGGAGGACAGCGACGAAGAAGAAAAGAAGTTCAAATTGACAAAAATGATAGAAATAATGCTACACAACGGCGCTACAGTAGCAGATATCATATTAAACTTATCACACAGCGCAATTGCAACAACTATAAATATTGCAGATTTAGTCAATCAGATAACGGCGGGACATGCACAAAGTAGCAGTAGTTCTTCAAATGAAATTATTAGTGTTCATAGTTCTCCAGCTATTACTGTCCATAGTTCTTCATCTGAAAGTCCAACAGAAATACCAGCACCACCTGAAGACGAAGAAGAAGAACCACAAAAAGATAATTTTGAAAAATTAAAATATAAATAATATTATATATAATGGGTATTGGCCAAAGTAAAAATAATGAAAATAATAGTTTGGAAGACATTAAGAATTTAAGTATAGATGAAAAAACACGAGCAGACACTTTAATTGTTAAATCTCTTCAATAATGTGTGGCACGAATTGAGAAACTAGAGAAAGAACAATCTGACAAATTAATATATAAACTTCCTGCCTTACAATTTTGCAATGCTTCGTTAATTTAAATTAATAATATTAACATATAATAATATTATTAATTGCTATCATAGTCTGTCATTTTATCCTCTGGTATTGTTGTTGAAGTAGTACTACTTCTATCATCTATTAAATCTTCTTCATCAACAAAATTATTTTGAAATCTTAATAATTCCTCGTCCGTTGCCCTCCTTTTCAATGCCTTATAAAGTTTATGTATCCAAGAATTAGTATGAAAATTATAATTACCTCTACGATAAAATCCACCACATCTAAATAGTTTCATTGGCATATTATTATATTATATTAAATTAGAATATCTTTATTCATCATTCGTAATTTGAAACGCCTGTTCAAATCTGATATGAAACATTTTGGTTAATGTCTTTAGCATTCATATTCACGTAGAAGAAACTATAAGGTGCGTCATTAACGGCTTGATGATACATATCTAATAATTGCTGTTTATCAACAATGGCGCTATTTTCTTCAATAAAACTCATTAACTCACTTGCATTGTTCAACCTAAAAATATATAATGAACTGGCGTTTAAACGAATGATAGGCGCCAAAACATTATATTTTTGTGTTGAACAAATTACACTTACTGCATCGTGCCTGCCTCTTGTAAAAAGTCCGTGTAATAATTTACTATATCTAACAAATTTAGGATCGTCGGCGTGGTCATCTATCACGATTAATATTGAATGCAGTTTCTTTATCTTTTTAGATTTCATACAATTAATTATTTTCTTCTGTCTTTCAATTACATTTTCTAAATCACTTGGATTATAATTATCAAAATAAATTTGTTCTTTTTCATCATCCACGTGCAATTCATCCCTGATGTATTTTTTAACTTCTGTAAAGGTTGGGTCATTATGAACGCTGGGGGAAAATATAAATATTCTTGCAAATGAATTTCTATAAACATTTAAAATAAGGTTCTGGACTAAAACTGTTTTGCCTCCCGTCGATGAAGCAACTATAATACTTCTAAATGGTAATTTTGGCACGTGCTCATATTTAGATTGTTTGAATTCATATTCAGTTATGTTTATTGGTTTTATTATTGGGACATCTGTCATCGTTGATATTAAAGAAATATACAAAAATATATGTAAAAATTAACTTGTAATTAATATTAAATGGAACATCATTATGTTGTGAGTGGCGGTGAATAACATAATGGAACAGGTTTTCCATTGCTTCAATCAATAAGCATTGAAGATAATTAGTTTTGTGTCTCGCTCGCGTGTGCAATGAACACCAAGTGCTGTGCCCCACCAATATTCTAGTATGCATGAAATAATAAGATTAATTAGAATAATTTATCTTATTATTTAATATGGATAGAAGTTATTCAGATTATATTGATATAATAGATGAAGTAGAGAATATAGAACAAGTAATAGTAACTGACAATAAAATTAAGAAATGCTGTTATTATACATTAGAATTAATAAAATTAGGAATACAATATATCAAAAATAAAAATGTAAATATTAATATAAATGGTCAAAAGCAAAATTACTGACCAAATACAAGAGGAAAATAAAGTAGTTAAATTAATGAAGGACAAGAAAGAATAGAAAAGACATTAGAAGAGCAAAAAGGAAAACAAGAACAAATGAATATACTAATTGAAACACAGCAAGAAGAACAGAAAGAAAGTAGTAAAGCAATGGACGAAAATATAAAAACGATTGAAGACAGACTAACAGCAATGGAAAATTATGATTATAGCGACTATCAGTATGTGGAACAAACGGGTCAAGGCAATCAACCTAATGAAATCAAAGTGGATAAAGACGGGACTAATGTTAAGTGCCTACCGTGTAAATGTGGAAGGTTGATAAAAATAATTCACACAATGAAAACCAAAGAAAATAACGGAAACTCACGCAAGGACACTTGGGAACATAACTATAATACGAAATGGGGGTAAATTAGTATATAAAGAGTATATTTTACATTAAATCAATTTTATAAATAAAAAAATATTTAAATAAATAATTATATAAATAAATATATATATATAGAAATGTCTGAAGTTGAGAATGATGCTATTGCTGAACTATCAAAGAAGATAATTACAGTTAGTAAAAATGTTAAACTGTTGTACGAGATGATAACAAACTATTGACCAGAAACTTGATGCAAAGGCAAACGAACCAAAAAATAACAATGAAGAGAAGGAAAATATTGACACCATCTTTGAAAAGAAAGGGATAGGCAGACCCAGCGGTGATTATGACACGAAGCGTAAAAATATTGTGATATGTTAAATAAGGGACAAATCAAATGTCCAAAAGAACAAACATTAGAAAATTATAAACTAATTAAGGGTGATGATGGTAAATATGTAATTGTTGAAAATTAAAATATAAATAATTCTAATAATATGAATTTATTAGAATTATTTAGTGGAACTGGAAGTGTAGGAACCATAGCAAAGTCGCTTGGATTTAATGTAATATCATTAGACTTGAAAAATGCTGATATTAATTGTGATATGTTGACGAGTTTGGTGGATTAAGGAATTTGAGTTGGGGTTGGAGTTCAAACTTCCCAAAATGTTGGGCAGGGTGCCCCAAAAATGTTGGGCAAGGTGCCCCAAAAATGTTGGGCAGGGTGCCCCGAAATGGCGGGCAGGTGGGCAAGGTGCCCCGAAATTGCGGGCAGGTGGGCAGGGTGCTTCCCAAATGGTGGGCAGGGTGCTTCCCAAATGGTGGGCAGGGTGCTTCCCAAATGGTGGGCAGGGTGCTTCCCAAATGGTGGGCAGGGTGCTTCCCAAATGGTGGGCAGGGTGCTTCCCAAATGGTGGGCAGGTGGGCAGGGTGCTTCCCAAATGGTGGGCAGGGTCTCCCAAAAACTTGGGAAGGGGGAACAAATGTTCATTTATGATTGAGTTTAACCAATAAACCTTACAATAAAAAACATTGTAAGATTTATGTTTTGAAATGACTTGAAGAAATAATAACTTAATATATTATAGTGAAATGAGTGATACAGATAGTGAATATAGTGATACAGTCCGTGATGATATTGATGCTAAAAATATATTGAAAAACAGTTTATGAGTTATAAATGTAAAGACTGTGAGATGCTAAAATTACCAATTGAACGGGGTTTTACAAATGGCGTTTGTAATAATATTTGTCAATATATGATATGCAATAATTGCAATAAAATTATAAACAAAATTGATGATATGAATAACAAAGATGTTGATATTATAAATAATGAAACTCTTGATGATGATTTAGAAATATTTGTGTTTATTGAAATGAATAATTTCTTAACTATAGAAGGGTGTGATAGTTTATTAGAATGTGACGACGAATGATATAATAAATTTATTTTTAAGTATTATTGTATGGTAAACAAATTATACAATATGTCTTTTAATATTAAACGTTTAAAATATGTTGTATTGTTTAATTTTTTAAATGAGTTTTTAAATGATGAGTATAGAATTGACGAACTTAGATATACAATAACACATGCAATTAGAACAATGGGGTTGTTTAGAACAAAAATGGGAAGTAATATTTATAATGAAACAACATGTGATAAAATAATAGAAAGACTTAAAAAAGACTATTGTCCCCTCGAAAACGAATGAACCAGACCTTGCCCATAATATGTCTACAAAACTTGTGATAAAATTTATTGTAAAATAATTTATCATAATTTTTGGAATAATATTTTATTGAAAACTTTGTAAAATTATATTTTCTAAAATTTATTTTTGAAAATTTATATTGTTTGAACATTTATATTTTTTGAACATATATATATATATATATATGTTTTTTTTAAAAAAAATGTAACAATTATTTTTATTTTTTTTTGTAAAAATATTTGTTGAAATTTAATTTTAAAATATGGATGAACTTACTAGGAAATTACCTGCTTTAAAATGTTGATTTTTGAAAATGTGCTGTTTGAGGTGCTGTTTTAAAATGTTGCTAAAAGTGTGGGGGGGGGGGGGTCCTGGGGTTTTTTATAAAAAAGGATGGGCAAGGTCTGGTCTAACTAAATCGCCCCCCTCCCACACGTGTTGCTGCGGTTTTCAGTTTGGGGAGGGGGAAGGGCTCGGTGTGTGAAAAACCAAGCACCACCTAGCACCACTCGCTCCATGTTATTGCCGCGTTGCTAAGCAGCCAGAAGCAGTGATCTTCTGAAGCATCCTGGCGCCATGCCAAGTTGCAGCCCATGTGTCGGATCAGGCGAAATCAACCTCCCAGCAGCTATTCGGCTATCCCCATGGAAAATAGTCACCTCCACCCATGGAAAGGCGTGTACCTGCTACAAAGAAATCCTCGTACAAGCTGACACATCCGCACGCTTGACCTGACCCGAATCTCGAGAGGCATGCACAAAGCGTTAAGCGTGGCAAGAATACGGCACCCCATGGGCACAACTGAAGATGCTGCCCTCCGGGCTTACGACATAGTCCACAGCTCCCGAGATGCCGACGACCTCGTGCCGTTTCGGCTGGAGCCCGGCTCTCAAGCCCTTGAAACCGCTTGAAACCTTGAAGCAAGCCTTGGCTGGTTCAGGCCATATATTGTGATACCCGAATTTCTCTGAGGTTGGGGAGGCGATCGAGTGATGAGTGATGCTTTGGCCAAGAAGCGCAGCCATACTTGGCAGCCAAGGACTTTGCTGCCTTGAGCGCGCCATCGGACCCTCAGCTTGCAGCCATGACAGTTCAGACTTTCGAGTTCCCTCGCGAAACTTCTCAGCCATGATTCAGACTTTCGAGTTCCCTCGCGAAACTTCTCAACCTCTCGACGTCTCTCGACGTCGCTCGACTGAAATGACTCCGAGCCCGCCTTTGGTGGAGTCAACACCTTTGGCAGCGCCGTCTTCCCCGCTCAGTGACAGGATCTCGCTGGCGTTGCCCCGCAGCACCCCGCAGCTGGCGAAAGCGTGAGCAACATCCAAGCGACGCAAGCCGTGAGCCCCGACTCCCTCCACTTCGCAGGCTTCACAGGCGCACTCTCTGAGACTCTGAGAACCCAAACATCAAACAACATCAAACAACATCAAACAACCCGTACCCTTCTCCCACTTCTGAGTCATCTGAGTCATCTGAGTCTTTTTGGGTATCTGGAGTCACCTGAACGCAGAACGCATGCGATGCGATCCCGCCCTCCCATCTCAAGGAGCTCCACCGCGGTGCTTGTCCTTCCAGGGGATGGAAAGGAAGCTTCGCATTTCACCGAACAAAACGATCCGGATGTCGCATAGAACACTTTGGTGTTTGGGATCAACCGTGGCGTCGTTTCGAGGGATCGGATCTGACACGAACAAAGCGAATGGGATGTCCATCCTCAGCGCCGTAAAGCCAGCCGCCACAGGGTCCAGAACCCACGGGAGGTTGTACTTCTTGCAGGCCCTAAGAGCGTTCCCGTCTCCCGTCCCGCTCCCCGAGCAAAAGACAGAACCGACAGAACCTGACGAGACCTGACGACCAAAAGTCTCTCCAGTTTGGAGCTAGGCGTGCGGCGCCACCGCGCTCTTGAAGGATTCTATCCTTGGAATCACAAGCTCAAGCCCAGCGACGGGATTTCACGGTCCACGGATAGAATTATCTCTCTGTTGGAGTCCCGCTATGTCTCAAACTTGGGGATCTGCGTGTGCCGTTCAACTCCGGGGACTCCCCAATCTGAGGGCATACAGTCAGTGAGAAGCCAAAAGGCCAAGAGAGGTCCAGCGTGCCGATGTTGATGGAGACCGCGCCACCGGCAGCCTTCACCTTGCTGATCGCCTGAGCCAATTCGTGAACCCTACCCACCTGACGGCATGCAATTCCCAGTATATTCCCAATATGGCATTTGGTTCCCTGTGGTTTTTTGACACGCAATCCCAAGTTCGACTTTCCTTTTGGACGTCTTTGGACATTGGAACCCCGCCTCGTCCAGCTCCGCAGGGGAGTGGACCATGGCAGGCTGCGCGCCCAGTGCCAGCAGGCCATTCGCCATGAAGTCCATGCTGACCTCACCGCCAAACCCGCCAAACCCGCCAAACCAAAGTTGAGTCGGACTCAAGCCACGTTTCGCAAGCTGTCACTAGCTTCCAGTTCTGCCCTTAGAACCACTCCCTGGTCAAGAGGACTTTCACAACGAGCTACATGCTTTCGCAATGCTTGTTTGATTGCGGGGAGTTGCAGCTGCCCGCTTCAGCATGCATACAGCCAAGCAAGTTCAGCAACGTGACTCTGAATCTGCCGTCTTGTTCCTGAAACTTGCATAACCTTTGGCCAAATTCCGGAAAGCAGCATAGTTCGTGAGGCACTGGACGAGAGGGCCCTTTGCCTGTCGGGTTCGCTTTTCTTGTGAGCTCGACGCCCCTCTGCGGCATGCCACAAACTGTCTGGGCTCGTTGATTGGCTCAATGCCATGAAAGTTGCGCACCTTTCGCTTCTTTCTGCTTGAAATTCTGAAAAGCAGCTTCCAGTGCTTCAAGCCTTGGACTCATCCGAGCCTTCACCGCTCGGACGATCTCTAACAGCCGATCCACCGAGCCGTTCTCGTCCATGGTGCGGAGGCGAAGGCGACCGTAGGTTCACAGCGAAGAAGAACAGAAAAGCCCACACTTTGTGACTTCGCAACTTGGCAATGCTTCGCTTGTTTTCAAAATGGGCTCTCCGGATGTGCTTACTTTGGCCACTTGCCACCTAGTTCCGGCTTGTGCTGTGTCGAGCATGCGTCCATTTGCGCGTCTGAGCCAGCTGTCCGAGCCCAACGCAGCAACTCGTACCCAGTGAGCAAAGCTGGCAGCTGCATGACTTGCCCTGACATCGGGCACACTAAGACTCGCCGGGCTGCACTTGTGATCGCCAGTGACACGACCGCGCCTGGCGATCCAAGATCTCATGCCAAAACAACATATTCACTAGGATGGTCTGATGGTCTGGTCTCAGATCCTCAGCTCTCGTGGAATCATCCCTCGTGGAATCGCTCAAAGCGGGGCTCAAAGCGGGGCTCAAAGCTTCGATCCGTTGCGCCTCTGTGCACCATCCGCGCCCAAGAGCTGAGAGGCTTGGTCCTAGCGCGTCAAGCTCTGGGTTCGGAGGTCCGCAAAAACCGCTTGGCCATACTTGGCCCATATGACAAGGGCCGTCCAGGAAACAGTGCCATGCTTGGCTTTGACATGTCTGGAACGAGTGCTGTAATGGTTCATGGCACAAGCCGAATTATGGCCCAAGGAATCACCTCAACTGGGGCTGGCTGGCGTTGGGCATGTAATGTTGGGAGTTCACGTGGTGAGGAACTTGCTTTGCGCAGCGTCCCCAGGTCACGCAAAGTGTCCCGAAGGCCTTGCAAGGCCAAGCTGGAACCATTCGGCCGCAAGATCCGGCCCAGGCAACACAACCCGTCCCGAAGAGACTCGCCAATCGCCTGCGCAGGGCTGGCTTCCAAGGACATTGTCCAAAAATTCAACCTTCTTGGGACCCCCCGATCCAATCTGGGAGATAGAACTTGCCCGCACCTCGAAGCTACCCGAACCTCAGCTGGCCAGTAACTCGCCGGGGTAGCCCACAGCTTGAAACACAGTTTGTTGGCAGAGGTACGGATCCCAGCCGCAGCAAGGAATATGCAAAGTGGCAGGCTTGCAATATGCGCCCGCGAGCAAAGGCGCTGGTATGGACTATGCCCTCAGGCTGGAAGCAATCCCGATGCAAAGGCCTAAGGACCTTTAGCCAAAGATCCTTCTAGTCTCAAGAATGAAAGAATATGAAAGAATGCATGGGGATTAAGAAATCAAATCAACATGCCATGCATAATGCACGCATCTGGTCCCAGAAACTCCGACACTCCCCGAAAAGCGTGAATTTTGCAAGTCCAAGTTGCCCGTTGCCGAAATGGCAGTGAGCAACGTTGGCGGCAACAGGGCATGTGCGAGGAATACTGTCACGTGCAAATGGTAGGCCTGGAGTTCACAAGCAGTGGAACGAAATCTCGCATGTGCAAGACTAAACATATTGATACATATTGTCATGCAAGAAGATTAAAGGCTGATCAGACAATGGGTCTTCTGAGGATACTATGGCAATCCATTGCCGCGGCTTTCACTGCATAAGCATGTCAATCTGATGCAACAACGCCTCAACGCTCCGTGCATGATGGAGGGTCGAAACTTCCATACTGAGGGACCTGGCCAACTGTTATCTAAGAAGGGTCCATGCCGACACTTCCATGCGGCATCTCGACCATGGTCCATGCGAATCCAAGTCCACAGCCCGTGTGTCGCTCTCAAGTCACGAAGTCACGAAGTCTCATGGCTCTTGCCCAGTGCGCTTGTGGCGCATAAGGGCAATCTAATCCTACTCGCCTCGCCTACTCGCCGCTGATCCAAAGCGGGACAGGGCGGACTAGACTGGCCCGGGAAAAGCGGAAAGCGCCGGCCAGTGAGCCGCGCTGACACGCTCCAAAAAAGGCGCGGATCGGGAGAAAATGCGGCACTCGCTTCAGGAACTCGCCGCTTTGGCGCAGCACTGAATGAATCCAGTATGCCTTGGGCATGGCTGAGACAGCAAAAGCACATGGACCGACTGCCAAGAGAATATGTCACTCTGGAATCCTGACGCCGTTAAGTCAAGCCCAAGAGTCAGTCCACGCCTAAGCTTTTGCTTCCCACATTTTACACATCGTGTCTGAACACTCGATGACCGGAGTCACCAACTTTCGCAGATCGCGAGAAAAATGGGCCGCTCTTGGCAGCCCTGTTGGAGTTGTGACCGACTAGCCACCATGCTTGTGCAGCGACTACTCAACCAATAGGTCGGCCGCCCATGCAAGGCACCAGTTGCCTTCTAGAGAACTGGCAATCCACTAATCGCTGCGGCCATTTGGCTCACACAGCACTGGACCCGTACAGACAGATCGAACAAAACGATACGAGTTTTGCCATCTGCATCCTTTGCAGGTCCTTTCCCAAACGCCACGTGGGGCGTTGGGCGTTGAGCGTTGAGCATCAGCTCTCGAAAAGGAATTCCACAAACTCCGCGTAGCTGACAGCGCCTGAGAGGCTCGCCGCATTTACTGCTGGACGCCCAAAACAACTCCTGACTTCCTTTTGGCCTCCCTTGAACTGCTGTTCAAGAGGAGTGACACATGGGCGGGAATCCCCTTGCGACTCAATCTCTCAAACCTGAGCCGCTGGCCATCTCGATCCTTGGCTGTGCACATGAGCCGGACAGTGATTGTACTCAGACCAAGACGTCCGTGCGGCATTTCATTTGCGAAACTTGCTTAAATCCAGAGTTGGGATCAAGTTAATTGAGTAAATTGCATCGATTCAACGCCGGCACGGCCGAGTATTGCTGCCGCGGGTCTGCGTCCATGACGGCAAAGAGCTCCGCCAGCTCCTTGCCGAGAGCTCAGTCGCTCTTGTGACTTTCCGAGTTCTGAGTTCTCGATATCCAAATTTGACTTCTGCGATTTCTGCTCGCTTGGTTCCGGCCCAAGGCGTAAGCGACCGTTGCGCATATCAACCTCCCGGTTGAATCCCCGTCACGCTACAGGTCTACATCTCCTCTCCCATAAACGCGGGTTGCAGGGAACACCAGTCATCAGCGCCTGCTCGGAGAGCCTCGGCCGCACCTGGCCATCCCAAAGGCCCGAGACAAAGGGCATTCCAAGCCGTCCCCAAAGACTTTAGATCAAATCTTCATATCTAAGAGTCGATATAGTCGATCAAAGGAATTCCAAGCCCGTTGCAAACACTGGGAGGCTCCAGGCTCGATCGAAAGGTGCCTTGCTCATGACGAACTCCAGCTCCTCCGGGCTGATGGCCCCGTTCTCGTCCAGGTCCCACAGCCGGAAGAGTGCGGCCCTCGGCGTCTCTCGACCTCCGACTTCTGACCGTTCCCGGTGTCTCACTTTCAGAAGCAGGCCTGCAAAAAAGCAAAAATACAATATTTGACTCATGCCATCTACGAGATCTTGACACTAATTCCACGAATAACATAGCCTGGTCGCCTTCTACTCCCATGAAACCAACATGTCCAGGCTCCGGGCGACGGCTCCACGGCATCGTCCTGAAAGGCTCAGAGGACACCAGGCGACTTCACTCACAGAAATATATATATATATATAAATATTAGTGGGACACCTGGGACACCAGTCACCAAGAACAGCCAAACAGCCATGGGTTAGTTCTATGTTAAACTTATGGACCCATAGAATCAGCCTTTGCTCACCTTCAGTTTGCTCAATGTGGCGTCAACTGCCACGGCCTCACCCTCATCATCGAGCGCATCGAGTGGTTTCGCCCAATGGACCTGGGCTGGAAGTTCATTTGAAGACAGCCCAGCAGCTAAACCGCTGCCAACAGAGTCTTCCCAGATGAAGTATACACTGAAGATTTGTCACTCTCAGAGGCCACACATTCCCCTGGCACATTCCCCACCGCTGTCAGCCTCGTACGACTCGTGCTTCGCTCCACATCTCCCTCGCCATTTCGTTTAAGCCAACACCTGCAGCCCAGCATCGAACTCCTCCGGGCTCACGAAGCGGTCGCCATCCAAGTCCGCAGCGGCCCAGGCCTGGCGCATCGTTCCGATCGCTCCGCCAGGCTCAGCCCATCTGCCCGTCTCCATCTTCCCATCCGCCCATGGCCTTTCATGTATATATATATATACGGGTAAGTATGCCCAAAGGCTCGAAATGCCATGTATGCATTTCGTGAAATTTGAACACCAAATGATAAAGATCCTCTCTTAGGGGGCAAGAGAGAAATTGCATATTCAATTCTGCTGGAATTGTTTTGCTCAGGTTTTCGGACTCTTCAAGCAGGATTCTTTTGGAGGGGTCCTTAAACATATCCCCCGCATTAGATATCCAAAATACGCAAGGTCTTGCTCCCGCATGAGATGATCTGTGGCGGCACTGGCGAGATAAAAACCAATCGCTCAAGCAATCAAGCAATCAAGCAATCAAACAAATCGATCACATCAATCAAATACATCACATTAACCAAATACATCACATTAATCAAATCAATCACACCAATCAAATCCATCAATCCATCAATCAAATCCATCCAATCCATCCATCCATCCATCCATCCATCCATCCATCCATCCATCCATCCATCCATCCATCCATCCATCCATCCATCCATCCATCCATCCATCCATCCATCCATCCATCCATCCATCCATCCATCCATCCATCCATCCATCCATCCATCCATCCATCCATCCATCCAATCCAGTCAGTCAAATCAAATCGAATCAAATCGAATCAAATCAATAAATCAATCAATCAATCATGAATACAAGCAACCCCGAGGGCTGTGGCATTGAGGGAAGCGCTCATATGGAAAGCCACTGGGGCAGGTGAAACTCCACTGCCGGAGCCAACCATGGGTAAAGGTAGTGAATCTCCCCCTCAAGGTCTACCAGCTTGCTCTTTGTTCGGGCCACGTGCTTTCCAGTACTGCATAACTCACTCATGACGCCAAATGACTGTGGCAGGAAAGGATGCGCTGGTCAGGTGATGGTGCAGCAAACGGCGAACGCATGTACCAGA